TAAAAGTAACAACCAAATCTAATGGAGGGGGGAGGTAGGGGAGGGTAAATCTCCCTCCTCCCTACTTTTTCAGCCAATTTCTCCTTCCTCCCTACTTTTTGGGGCAATTTCTCCCTCCTCCCTAAAGTTGGATTAAAAATTGGCAGGAGCAACACACAACTCCTGCACTCCTGCACTTAGTCGTAAAGTAAGTTTTCTGACATTCGGAACTTCGCCTCTACACCAACATACTGCATGAAGATTGTCTAACCGTCGCATGTCATGCAAACTAGATTTTTATGGAGAACAAGACGCCTAAAGTCGTTTCCGTGGGATGCGTTTGTCTATGGAAGCATAATGGCGTTCCATCTGAATTTGGAAAAATTAGGGAAACCGGAAAGATGTGTCATGTTATGAGCACCGATGGGTAGGTTACCTGTATGGGTTGGTTTAATGTGCTTATGACTGAATTTATAGCAGCCTGCGCGGCAGGCTACTATTTCTCCCCAATCCACATCCCCTTTTGGCTTCCTCCCTATCCCCTACCCCTTTCGACACCTGCTACGCAAGCTAAATTCATAGTTGTCAGTGGTCGCAAGGATGGAGTTGATCTATTTTTGATCTATCGCTATGTAGTTATTTTCGTAGCACGATTTGGATAAGGAAAAGAAGTTATTTTGCATCAAAACAAGGTTTACCCGTGTAACTTAAATTGGAATGTTAACGGAAACAAGTAATGGCGAACATGCGCATAATGCTCTCTGATTAACCTGAACAGGAACTATATGTATAAAGATAGGTCATATCTTGGTAGTAAGTTGCCATAGGTAACTTTTTCAAAGAGAAATAAACATTGTAGTTTTAGGTTAATGGAACAAAACAAAACAAAACATCCAGGGTCGAACCCAGGGTTACAAAGTTCGATAAAGTTCCAATGTTTTAATCCAAGATGAAAGTTTAATATTCCAAGATGCTCTTGATACGGTTAAAAAGTAATTGCAATGTGTTTGCAAGGTCTCAAAGTTAACATAGTTCCAATGATTATCCCTGATTCCAAGGTATAATAAGTTTACTAAGGTCCTGATCCGTGTCCCATCCAGAAGTCCAATCCATGCCGAAAGTGAGTCGTCGATCGACGAGGACAATATTTTCGCGATTTCACCGCCAATCGTCAGGTCAAGGGTACGAGTTGAAATTTACGCGACTTAACCTCCCATCGTCAAGGTGTTTTCGATAAAAAAAGAAAAAAACTGAACTCTAGCTGTGCTCGGCAAAAACTGGCGAACTCCGAATAGAAAAATCTACGGTGGCCCACAAGTGCACAACGAATTCCAGAAAGTCACACCGAATTCAAATAACTCACACCGAATTCAAATAACTCACACCGAATGCAAATAACTCACACCGAATGCAAATAACTCACACCGAATTCAAATAACTCACACCGAATTCAAATAACTCACACCGAATTCAAATAACTCACACCGAATTCGAATAAACTCACACCGAATTCGAATAAACTCACACCGAATACAAGTAACGAGCGACGCCTGGGTGCGAGTAGTGAGGTGACCAATCCCGGTATCCTCTTGGCTTCTTCTTCCCGCGATTTCAAGATGGCGGCGCAAACTCAACAACATCGCTAACATGTGAAGTTTGCAGAGCAACAGTGACGCTTTACAGCAAGTTTTGTGCCACCTGTGGTGCTGAGCTTGATATAGAAACACAAGCACTGAAATATTATTTCAACGAAGGATACGAGTATGAGGTTATTCTGTGCTTTTTGCTGAAATACCACGGAATAGAAATGAGCCTGCGAACGCTCAAGGAGAGATTCAAGTCACTTGGGCTTCGACGACGGAACCTATTGGATTCAAATGACCAGGATATCAGAGCTAGAATACAGGAGGAGTTAGATGGGCCTGGTTGCTTAAAGGGGTACAGGAGCATGTGGCATACTTTGCGCCGTGAGGGTTATCAGGTGTCGAGGCAAGCAGTGGCGACATGCTTACAAGAAATGGACCCTGAGGGGTGCGAACGAAGACGAAGGCGGAAGCTCAAAAGAAGAGTTTACACTAATCCAGGGCCGAACTACTGTTGGCATATTGATGGCTATGACAAATTGAAACCTGACGGGTTCCCGATCCATGGCTGTATTGACGGTTACAGCCGAAAGATAATATGGTTAAGATTGGACAGAACAAACAATAATCCCGTAGTGATCGGGAGATATTATATGGATGCTGTGAAGGAATACGGAGGATGCCCCATGAAGGTTAGAACTGACTGTGGCACTGAAAACGGCCTTGTAGCAGCAGCACAATGCTATTTCATTGGCAATGATCTGGCACATATTTATGGAACCTCACCTCACAACCAACGAATAGAAGGGTGGTGGTCGTACCTAAGACAACACTTAACTACTTGGTGGATGAACTTTTTCAAGGACTTACTGGAACAACAAGTCTTCACTACTGGTAATGAACTACAGATGGAGTGCTTGTGGTTCTGTTTTTCCGGGCTCATTCAGCAAGATTTGGATAGCGTAAAAGTACACTGGAACAGCCACTACATCAGAGAGTCGCGCCATGACACTGTAAAAGGAAGACCCAATGAGTTGTTTTACCTACCTGAACTGCGCAATACTGAGGACTTTCTTGCTCCTGTCAGTGCACAGCAGTGTGACTATATCACAGATAATTACCTTCCCTTGCAGAGAGCACCAATGAATACCAGGAGTATTTTCAGTATGCCTTTCAAGCTGCAGGTCTTTCCAACCCCCAAAACTGGCGGGAAGCCTTAGACTTGTACCATAATCTTTACAGGTATGCATCCAGTTGACTATTTCAGAGTCAGACACACCTGCCCTGACTCATATTTATTTGAATGGTAATGAAGATCGGCAAGACAAAATGATGTATACGTAATTTTCTCTTGAGATCAGATACCAAGTTTGGTTTCAGAAGATACACTCGTTTCAAATCTGTATTATTAAAATTGTTCTTGTATGTGGGGCAAACGTGTCTGATTGTCCAACTGGAAGCTACGACACCAGATTGGTTTTCCTTCACTGCCAGGCAACCAAACTTCTGTTAAGTTGTCTTGGGTTCTGTGACCGTGTAAGGTCGAGTAAAACAGACTAGTACGTTTACAAACAACAACAACATGGATTCTATTTATTCTTATCTGTCACATGACTAGAGCATTCCAAATATGGGCAACATTACATGTAGGTACGAAATGTTTTCGTCATGGGTCATTTTTTGCCTCCATAACATAACGACAACGAAGCCCTTTGTAAATGTAAACATAAGACTTTCTTCAAAAGGTTGTCAAACTGTTCTTTCATTGTTTTTTATTGTTGGTAACAGAAAGATCTGAGTTCTTTAAATACAGTAAAAACCGGCGTGTAAGAACCTATTTCAGAATCTGTTTAGCCTAATGTCCTGGTAAGCACCATTTACATAAGAACCTGTTTAGGCTAACTTGCAAAAATCTAGGTTCTTATATGCGGATATTTACTGTAGGTAACATCTCCTTCGTCAACGTTTTATGTGAAACAATTATCTTGTAGTAACAGTAACAATAACATATATTAGACACTAAAAGCACTTTCTGTTTGATTTACAAGAGTGTTTCATGCAGCATTCTTAGCCCTTTACAGTTTATGGAATATAATATCTTTTGCAGCCCTACTGACATTTCTCTACATCCAGAAATGTTTTCTCCCCTGGTAAACTAAACAACTGGACTTGGTCGTTAATGGTTAAGAAATCTCAAGAGCTTTGCAGCATTACCCGGGTAACACTTATCATAAAGTACTGTAACATTCAACTAATTTAGTAGTAAGCATTACTGCCTACCACACCAATGTCAACTTACTTACTGATACTAACAAACTGAAACTAGAGTGGTTTTACATAACCCGTGAAACACTGTGTGAAAATTACTGTGTAATACTACAAAGTAAGCAAAAGGAAACAATGCAGTTAGTGTCTAATAGTGCGTACTAGACTACTATTATTTTCACGAGTTAGGTAAAGTCACTCCAAAACATACAGCTTGTAAAAAGCCCTTCCCAAGCCCCAATGTTATATTAACAGGAACTAGTCACAATGAATTAACATGAACTAACTTATAAAAATTTGTACATACACTGAAAATTAAAACTTGTCCCAAGAATGCAAAAACAATACTTGTGAACAGTCAATAATTTTCTTGTTCTATCACTAACTTTTGTTACATGTGACCATTTTGTCACTTTTCAGTCAGTCGAAACCAACTGTGAGCAAGGCATGCCTTTTCTTTAAAATTCTTCAGGTAACAATGCAGGTAACTACAAAGAATATAGCTGCTTTATAAACATTTTAAACTCTTGTCAGTTCTGCTGGTAAATGGGAAATGTTTAAAACTCGTGATAAAAGTCCAGTCAGCCAACACAAGAAAAATTTGAAATTCTCTGAGTTAGTTATACAAAGCTGTCAATGCAATAAAACATATTTACTTTACTCTGTCCAAAGTCCTTGCATTTGTAAATTGCAAAATTAGAATACATTTTAAACTGCTTTGGGTCGGTCATGTGGCTGACTGGGTCTTCACTAAGGCTGTGTGGCCAATGAAATGCACTAACCTGACTACCACCCACAGCATCCTTTTTGCATGCAGCAACATTGTAAAAAAAAAATACAATGAACTGCATCAGTGACATTCGTCAATGTTTCGACTGGTCACTCAAAAACTTAACAAACATGTCACTAAGCAGTTTCAATTCAGCGTAGTAAAACCAAAACAAATATACAATTACTGTCGCCAATCACGACAAATGCAAACCATGAAACAATGAACCAACCACAACTCGGCAAACACATACAAATGTTTTCAAGTTTTGGGTTCACTGCTGAGAAACTAACATGTTTTGCTAATCAATTGCAGAGTACTGTCAAAGAAAACCTGAAATTCATTTCGAGACTCGGGTGAAAACCATTCTATACCTTAACCTGTCACTTCACTCTGTCCAAAGTCTATGCATTTCCAAATGCATTTCCTTTGCACATGGCAAGTAGTAAGACATGTTTAAACTGTTCTGGGGTTTTCATGTGGGAGACTGGAAATGTGATTTCCTTGCTGCAGGCTGCCACACGGGGAAAGCAGATTGTGTGATTAGGATTTCTTGTGAAGCAATCATGGTCGAAGAGGGCAGTGACATTCAGCGGCTCTCCATTTAAGGGGCGGTGCTTTTGGCCTGTCAGCCACCCCAATACACCAGATGGTGTGGTGTCCATGGACTGAAATCGCTCCACTTCGCTACTTTCAGTGTTCGTGTCATTGAAGTCCTTCCATGCTACTGGCTCGGAATAGCCAGTTATTTGTTCATCTTCCAATGACATCAGAAAATCTTGTAGGTTGTCAATGACTGCCTCTTCAAGTGGTCGTTTTGACGAGCCCTGTTCCGAGTAGCTTGGATTGACAAGCGAAAAGACATAATTGGCATCTACCACCTGATTTGAACCTTTCACAAAAAGAGGCTTGCATAAAGAAGCATTGCCCCTAATGACATCATATGCACCATACAGCTTCAGACCTTCACAAAATTCTTTCATGTACAGCAAACGCTTGGTCATAATGCTTAGTTGCATTGTTCCAATGACATCCTCTTTGTGGTCATGATCAATGATGCCAGTGTATCCATGGTCAACAATTACATCACACAAAGCACCTTCAAATGTGTCACAAGCTCTTACTGCGTCGAATAGCTCTTTGTCCTTTGCAGTGAAATGCCTGTCAACATCTAGGTTGCCAATGTTCACATCAGGGTCCAACATCAACTGGTACACACTCTCATCCAAGAAAGATGGCGCTGGTCCTCCTTGAGCCAAAGACACTGCAATGATTTCCCCACAGGTTTTGAAACTTTTGTTATGAACATTGTACAGTGAATTTATGGGGCTCCATCTGGAAACACTGCCAGCCCCATATCATTAATCAACTGTGCCAGAAATTCTTGCGATAATGCACCGCTGTCTACACCATTCTCTCCACTATAGCGCACTCTTAGCACTTTTTCAGGAGACGATCTGTTGGCTTCTCTTTGCCACAGGGACAAAACTCTAGGAAATGGGGACCCTCTTCTAGAAACAATAAAAAACTGACCATCTTGGTCAACCTTTTGAGACAGGGACTTAATTACACTTGAAATATCTTGATGGATAGTACCCATTGACATGTTGTCATCTTTCCCATCCTCCATGTTCTCGACAGCGTCAATCATGTCAATGGATAACTCATTGTCAAACTCCCTTTGTAACTCAATTGCAATTTTCTCATCACTAGCAAACACAGCAGATGCATCAGGCTCTTCATCAGTTGTCAAGCTTTTCAGTCGCTTCTTCTCTGGCTCCTCAACCAGCTCATCAGTATCTCTATCTGATTCACTATTTAGGTCAAAGTGAAAGTCACTAAGCTTGCATAGGTACAACACAATTTTGTTGTAGTCCTTTCCAGTTTCTTCTTTGTATCGTTTGAGGGAAAAAAACTCTTTACTGGCAGATGAACCTGGAAGAAACTGGGCTTCTTCACCATTTTCAAGTAGAAGAATGTAGTCTTCGTTCTCATCATAGAGGTCGCTGTTAAAGGCTCTCCACTTTTCCACAGCTTTCTGCAGGATGACTTTGTAGGTGGCTTTGTTGGACACTCTCAAAGCAAGACGCTTGCCTCTCTTTGGTTTGATACACACGTTCTTGTCACTCCATACCATGAGCCCAATGTTGATCTGCACTTCTATCTCTTTGTCACTTGCACTTCCAGCCTTTTTGCTTACAATGGATTTCCACTGTTGGCCTTTCAGTTTTTTGAACATATTGAAAGATTTCACGTGACAAGTTGAAGCGTGAGAAGTTGAAGCGCATGATGTGGATGAATGGCCTAAGAGTAAAGATGACAATACTCATTACTCCCTAAGTGATTAATTGGAGGTAGCAAATGTGATATAGTGACAAAGAGAGTAATAATATTCACAAAGTTATAACATAAAATCTCTGGTCCTCTAAAATTCAGACTTGTGACAATTTTATCCTGGTTACAGCATCTGATGATTCATACAGTAGCACTTGGCAACTGTTGTGTAGCATGAAGTGACAAGAAGCATCACCATAATTCAGCATTTTGTTAGGTTTACCACTCACCATTGCTCATTGGTCATTGGTCATTTAGAGCATTGTATATATGGTGTGACTGATTATGTGACTGATAATAATTTGTGCATAACAAGGGATCATGAGTTGTGTTAATTGTATTTCAGTGTAAACAAATTACCGGTACTGGTAGTGTGTTTTTAACATTACCCATGGCTGGTTATTACAATCGGTATTATGAAAAAATTATGGCTAATTATACACAATATAAATAACTTACCCGTTGCACGCAGTTCATTAGATTGCTCTTGGGAAGAATGAGCTAATGGAAAAATAATTATTAAGAAAATATTAAGTCTAAAAGATCACTATAAAAGTTCCAGTATTCCTTCATTACAATAGAATGTGCATTTCCAGAAAATAACCATACTCCCCCACGGAAGGTTTTTGTTTTGCACCCCCCCCCCCCAGGAAATTCCACTTTAGTATCATACTTTTCTTCTAAAATTTTGGGGCTTAAAACCCCCCTCCCCCTAGGAATATCCGAGACCTTCAATGGGGTGGTTATGGATTTTTCTGGAACTGTACAATATATTATTTTATAATTTGATCAATCATATACATCTAAGTCTACTGCATCTAACAGGAATTCAAATCAGCAAATCAATCAATTACAATAGCAATAATTACTATAAAAATGTTCAGTGCAATTGTACCTGAATTTCCTGGAGTTGTGGCAGTGCTGCACCGACCTAGAATAATTTTATGCAATAAACACATAGTTACAAACAAAGATAATGCAATAGCCCATTGATAGGATAGGACAAAGCTCTTAAAAGCTTGTGCTTGTGCTTGTCCTCTATTTGCCCGTAAGATTGTCGCGAATGTTACGAGCGGCCGTCTCCCACCCCCACCCCCACCCTTCCTGACGCCCGTCCCCTAAGTGTTTAGAGGACGCGTTCGCCTAAAAAACAAGATGGCGGCTACTCGTATAAACAATCGCAATCGCGACGATCTTACAGGAAAATAGAGGACTGTGAACAGTCTATGCCCCCATTGAAATGACCACTAATGTGTATCAAAATTGTGACTTGTGCAATCCTCTATTATAAAAATCGCATCTGCATGGTTGCGCTTTTAAACATAAGGATACATTTCATTTATATTTTCATTCCACGACTATCCCCTATCCAAAGTGAGTCAACACAGTGCTCGACTTTCAGAAAAAAATCTTGGGGCCAGCTGGCCCCCAAGTTTTCATTTTTTGTCGCCAGAACAAGTATTCTGGTTGCCAAAAATTATATTTAAGAATTAATGGATTTAGTTGTGTGAAGGATAACGGATTATCGTTAGTGTACGTTTTCCCAAAGAAGATAGTCACCTATCTTGGGGGCCAGGTTGGCGACCAGGGGTGAAAATTTGGTCGCCACTGAGTAAAAGCTGGGCGCATTGGCGACCCCACGGGTCGCAACGTCGAGCCCTGCAACAGACGAGGGAATCACCGCTGTATAGGTGTAGCTGCTTAAGTCTGTAAATTACGGTATGAAAGGCTTGTATACACTTACCTGCACCACACTTGGAGCAAAAATTGTCCCCTTCTTCCAACGCACATCCACAGCTCGAGCAGAACATGGCGGGAGCGGGAAGAACTCCAGGGAAGAAGAATAAGAAGAAGAGGATACCGGGATTGGTACCAGGATACCTTGCAGTCACTTGACTGCTCGTACCCAGGCGTCGCTCGTTACTTGAATTCGGTGTGAGTTTATTCGAATTCGGTGTGAGTTATTCGAATTCGGTGTGAGTTTATTCGAATTCGGTGTGAGTTTATTCGAATTCGGTGTGAGTTATTTGAATTCGGTGTGAGTTATTTGAATTCGGTGTGAGTTATTTGAATTCGGTGTGACTTATTTGAATTCGGTGTGAGTTATTTGAATTCGGTGTGACTTATTTGAATTCGGTGTGACTTATTTGAATTCGGTGTGACTTTCGGTGTGAGTTATTTGAATTCGGTGTGAGTTATTTGAATTCGGTGTGACTTTCTGGAATTCGGTGTGCACTTGTGGGCCACCGTAAAAATCTATCGGAAATCATGACCCGCAACCAGACGCTACTAAAACCTTATGAAAAAGCTAGACCTAAACAAAAAAGAATCATGAAGGAAAGAAATAATTTGGCTTAGGTCGCCTTTCGTGACTTGCCAGTATCCCGAAGGATTTCGCTGGTTAACAAGCCATCCTAAACCACGAGTGCCGAAAACTCAAGGGCGACAAATTTGGCAAGGAACGTTCTGATTTCAACGTTCTTCAGAGGAAGCAAATCGTTTAAAAATCGATACAGATTTTGTACAATCTGATTGGTCGGCTTGGAAGAAGAGATAATCGATAAAGATTTTAGGCAATCCTTTTGGCTGGCTTTGCAATTTTGGGTACAACCGAACCGGATTTTTACCGTGGGAGTGCCACAGGCATCCCACGGAAAAAGCCCTGTGGGGTACTCCAGGGAATTCTTGGTAGGGGTGTGCCGCCAGATCTCCAAATTCTGACCCTATTTCAGACAACACCGCGGCAAAACGCAATGCGCATGAGCTCAAAATTTAATATCCGGTCAGCTTTTTATTTCCGGTCTAGTATATAAACCAATAGCGTAAGCATAACTTTGCCGTCGCGCCAAGTTTAAAAGCAAAAAGGGCGAAACAGACAAAAAAGGGGGCCAAATAAATCACTTCATTCGAAAGCTTATATATTTTTCTATTCTCAAACTTTTGCACCACATGGTTATCTGTTTGCACCAACGGTGAAAATGATGTTTGAAGTTTGCAGGTCGCGAGCGCTCGACAAGACGAATTTGTTTTTACTGGCTTTCTTGCATGCTACTGGTTTGGCATAACTTAATTTGGGAGAAGGAGACAACTAAGAAAAGAATAACAATACTTATGAAAGAAACCAAAAAAAGACGTCATCATTATCATAGAAAACACTAAAACCCGGAAATAAAATTTTAGTCCGTTCAATAATTTGTTTTATCATCAGAGAAAACAACAACTCAAAACAAAAGATGGGCGGGATTTAATAACAACTTTGACTTTGATGACTGCAGTCACCGGGAAACTAAACATGCCTATAAATGACTTTCATTCAAGAAAATGCCTGATTTAATTCTTTCACATGGCTGTTCTTTTGTTGAAGACTTCAATAATTTCAGACTGTGCGGCTCGGCTGCATCTCATGCAAACACGAAACTTCTAGCTGCTAAATACATGACATGAAAAGTTCGACTTCTAAAAGCCACTGAACCAGCTTTCGCACTCTGATTCTGAGAATGGAAAAATAAATAAATAGAGTTGTCAACTTGCTGCCAACCGGCTCAACAGTATAATTAAGCTTATGTTTCATGGCAATCAACCCAGAAGAGTTTCGTTTTAAAACACGGTAAAACCCACTGGTAATTTAAACAAAACTACAAAGCGATTGTGTGTTGTCGTTTTCCAAATAAAGTTTGAATCGGCTTTAACACATGTAGACTGAGAAACTGAAGAACTAAAAATTAGAACTACAATACACAAGCTTGCAATGATAACTTTTTAATTTTATGTCTTAGTTTCAGCCAGGTTAAGTGAAAAATAACAGCCAAAAACTTTATTTTCGTGAATGAAAATCAGTTTACCTGACGTTCTAGCCAAAATTACACACTGA